TTTTATCTCTTATTTTCTTTTATGTATAAACGTGACATAGTCTATTATTGATCTTTGTTAATCGACCACTTATGCGTGTTTTTCTTGGTCGTAGTTCTTTATTCTTTGTAGGTGTGTTTATATATGTGCTTGTATATGAACACCCTCGAGAATCAGTTCCACAATGTCTTCTTCCTGGTGTTATAGTCACTCTCTCTATTCTCCTTCACAAAGGTGATTCAGCCTATTCAGATGGTAAATATCTACGATTTGATACTTGATTTTATTTTCAAACTTAGATGAATCTCCTTTAAACCAAAGAGAGGATACCGGATTCGGATTTATGTGAAAAGTCGATTCAGAATATCTGTGCTGTTTGTCCCTTAGCCATCATGGAGGCATAGTACATTACGTCCTTTTTCTATGATAGAAAAAGGACGTAATGTACTATGCCTCTGACTGTCGGTGACAAAATGTTTTTTAGTATTATCATAATCAATCTAATGGAGTTGTTGGTGGTTTTGGGAACACTGATACACAACTGAGAAACATAAATATTTTCCAGTCATAAGTATTAGAATGGAAATGTTTTTATGATATCGACACTTTGTGACGATTTCTTGCTAGAGTCCCTTCACACACATGATTCGTCCTATAATTTCTCATTTTGTTCTCCTATTCAGTATTTAATATTCTTTTCAGTGTCTTGATTATGTTTTGTATGTGTACGCTTTCTTTTTTTTTGCATCTAAAGTAGATATTCTTTTTTCTTGGGAAGAAACAGTTGAATTGATTAAGTGTACTTCGCCATATGGTTCGAATATAATTTATTGTATTTTCCTTTTTTACAGCTAAAATTTTTGTTAAGAACAGCAGTATAACAGCAACAAATTTAATCATTATGTAACACTTTCCGACGTTTTGATTTTATCAGAAAGTCAGTCGGAAAGTGTTACATAATGATTAAGTCTGCTGCTGTTATACTGCTGTTCTTAATATAAATTTATTGCATATATATATATTCATTCTCACGTTCATAAACTTTAATTCATTCGATCATGCACTGATAAAAAAGAATCTTGAAAAAGATAAATCTTTATACAACTACCGAACATGACAAGTATAATGCGTTACTGTCACAGTTGTTGTATATGTATGTTTGTTTACATTATTGTTGAAATCTGACTATGTTAGAATGAGTAATGGCTACTTTTCTTAAAATCACATCTGACCCTTGTCATGACTTTATTTTTATGGCACCAACTAATGAAGAAAAGACAGAATATGTCTTTTACGTTGTTGTTCTATCTCTGTCTGTTAATTTACATTATAAAAAATTATTCATTTATTTATGATATGATTCGGTACATTCTTTTTTCTTCTTCTTTTATGTGTTAGGGCAAAAAACTTCTTATATAAATAGGCGATCGGAAGCGTCTAAATGGATATTTGATTAGAACAAACAATATTTTTAAGAATAAAAATAGAATTCTTATACACTCTTGAATACATTACCAACTTGAGAGAAATAATCATGAACAAAATAATCTACATTGCATTGATGGTGGTATGTATTTATTAACACACATTTAAAGACGGATTTTGAGGCGACAGAAACTGATTATTCTTGCACACACGGATAGTAACGGTCAACGAAATGTTTGACTTTAATATGACAGATTTCGAGAACTTCAGACTACCTAAACCACTCTCAACTTAGTTTAAAAATTAGTTTGCTGTTGTTTAGTTGTGTGTCATCTTTGATCTTGCAACTTGCCTACCAGGTAGAGGTAGCAGATCAAGTGGACATTTCGCTGAAGATGATCATCGTCATCCGTCGATGGCAGGCCGACCAGGCGAAACGCACCGTGGCGATTTTGGTGGCAGTGCCAACTGGGATTTGCAGCAAGTAGCTCGATATATTTGCCAATGGGAAGCTGCTAACAGTACAAATGGCCAAACATTGTTGAATGCGATTGTTCAATATTTGACCGGCCTTCAGTCGAACGGTACCTTCCAACCATTATTGTCGAAATACAACCAGACCGTCGCTTACGTTCAAAATGCGACAAATAAGGCACTGTTCCTAAGCAACTGTACACAATTCTTTCAAGGACTGAAAGAAGCATTCACAAGAGACATACAACAGCAGGAACAAATTGAACAGCTCGGTAGCAGTGTGAAACAGCAAGTGATGAAACTGTTAGTTGACGTATTCAACGGCATCGCGCAATCATCACCATCATCGGCGACACAGATGAGTCCAGAGTCATCAATAATACTGACAACAACAGCCGTTGTAGGCTAGAATAATTGGATTTTGTGCATGATAACGGTTACCCACCAAGTGTTTAGACTACTTTTTGATCCTCATCCTACACCGACAAGTAATGGGGTCTAACTAGCTACCTATCAAGAACTATTTTTGTTTTTGTGCGAGAATCTCTTTTTTGCTGTAATATTTTGTTGTATTAAATATTTCTGTTTTTGGAAATTAAAGAGGGTATTAGGTTTCCGGGTGAACTAACATCTTTCTCACCTAACGTTTATTTACAAATAAAAGAGATTATTCTTAACGATAAAATTGATCTATTTATATACGAAATATTGTACGATAACCTTGAATATATTCTTGCGCAATAACTTAGACTATATGCTTGCGCAAGAACCTTAACTATGATCTTCTCCCTTATGTCACGACTCTAAAGCGTGGCACAGCACCTTCCCCTAACAAAGCTTGCTGAGCTCTATAATACGATGCAGGTTGTGCCAAAGACGTCAAAGGTCGATGTAAATGGTGGTAGGTTTTATATGGATCGAGCCTATCCGTCGATGGTGAAAACATCACTCTGCAGTAGTAATATCCGAAAAAATGAGTGTTCGCACTTTCACCTAGAAATGAATCACCAGCCATTTCGTAGCGTATTGAAAGAGCTTTCTTTTGATATATAATGTAGACCGCAACCTAAGTTCTTTCATGATAAACACACAGAAACATTTCCATCAGTATGCTTGAAAACATCACCCTTCAGTAGTAAAATCCCAAAAAGTGAGTGTTCGCACTTTCACCTAGAAATGAATCATCAGCCATTTTGTAGAGTTTCGAAAGAGCTTTCTTTTGATATATAATACAGACCGCAACCTAGGTTCTCTCATAGTGAAAGAACAGAAATACTATCGTGGACTGTGCTGAAAAGGTCATTTTTAACAGTAATATTGCAAAAACGTGGATGTTCGCAGTGTACATAACAATTGAGCAATAGATAGTTTTGTTCGCCGTTTAAAGCTGCATCGAATGGTATATAAGACTTTCCTTCAAACTTGTTGTATTCTGAGAAAATTACGAAAAAGGCCTCGGAATGGGCGCGCGGAGCTATTGTTCAAAGCTGATCGATTTTCTGGCAGATATGAGGTCCGAAGGGGAACCAAGGATGTAGAACTCCATAAAACTGTACGCTCTTTCATTCTAGATACCTTTCGAGGTGATCTGAAATGGGGCCGATCCTCGTTCTTATTGCATCCCGTCCTCTGTATGGTTTTTGAAACAGTGTCCTTTTTGTCAAAATCAGTAAGGTATGGTGGACGAGATCTTGATCCATCGTTCTTGTTCTTAGTTAATACTTGGGCAGGTACTTACTGCAATGCTGGATTAATAGCAAGCCGGTTAGTGCATCAATCGTTAGGTTCCCGGTGAACTAACGAAGGAAGCCCACCAACTGTCCCATCGCTTTTCGCCTAAAACCTAGTTGACAATAGGTAATCGACTGTCTATTGTCGACATTTTTCGAAATAAATATATTTACACATATTTAAAATATAAGATTCGTTTCAATACATTTTTTTAAAAATCTGTTTAAATTTCTACAATATTTTGAAGACATTTAAACGCATGTGAAAAGCATATTTAAAATCCGTTTCAAAAGCCTCCTGGTTTCTTTTTCTTCTGGAAATCTGCTAGTCCACTGCCCGTAGACCGGGTTCCTCCCCCCGGTATTCGCAGACTCGAGTTTCTCTGAAAAGTGAAGGTCCTATGAACTTAGAACACAGAAAGTAGAAATGGACTTAGAAAAGAAAAAGTACAAACGAATTTGGAACACAGATAGTGGAAATGAACAAGGTTTCGCTCATCTCGTTTCAATCGTTGACTTCTCTCAGAAAGCTCCTAGTTGCAGTTATACATCAACGCTGTACTCTTTCTTTCTTGTGGTTGGCGATGGATCATGAACAAATTACATCACTCTGTGAGAAAGCATCCGCTTATGGAGAAATCTCAGTCAGTAGAACAGAAAGAAGAATGACTATTGTAGAACGGATTCGGGCAACTAATACTGATATTTGGGGCAGATTTGGTATTATATATTTCGTATATTATATATACTTGCAGTGTATGACGAAGTGAAAAAGCGGAATATATGTAACTGATAGTGGTATCGTGCTTCTATGATCAAGTGAGCTGTTGTTTATATTAGTTTACCATTTAGTCCTTTTTCTTATGTCACATAGTGAACTCTGCATGCGAGGTATATCTGTCCATGCGAGAAAATGAAAATTTTTTTTTCTACTTTAAGTTTTCGGTGAATATCCCGTTGACTTGTGGAAGTGGAAATTCGAAAAAATCAGAGGAGTCAAAAATTTTCGAAATACACATCATTCGATTCAGTTTTTGATCCTGATTCTGAATATCATATTTCCATTGCACAAAAGTTGAGTTTTGTTCCGGAAATCGCGAATTACGGGCAGAATTTCGACTTTTCGCCTCGGATTTAGTGAAGTCGACTTTTCTCCACGAGAAAGCCAAATTTGCGAACGCACGCATACTCTTGTTCGTCGTTTAATGGCGGTTCGAATGATGTATAATTGTTGGGAAAAGCTTTTAATGCAAAAGACTACATAGATTGGGCACACAGTGGTCTTGGCGCAATTGGATTTCAGATTTTAATGCGAGTGCATTTTAGGTAAGACGCTCCCCAGCAGGAGAAGTTTCAAATAGTGAATTTTGTAGCTCTACCTTGTGCACAATTTCTGGCAAACGCTGACGCTTGGTCACCTATCCTTTGGGTCACACGGCTCAAAATACTGAAAGACATCGAAGTCGAAAAGTCGTAGAAATTGATGAAAAGTCGAATTTTTCTCCACTAGTAAGGGCCGTATGGAGGGATTGGATATACAAAGGCGAGATCTACAAAACTCTAAAGAGAGAATACGTCGTTTTCGTTTCTCTGGGTGGCAGTACGTTCAGCATCGATACCAACGGATGATGAAAAAGCACTAAATGGTACAGTTCTATTACATACGCATATTAAGAGGTTCGTTTAAAAAAGCAAAAGATCAGTCAGTGTGACGCGGATAAACGCGTGCTCATGAAAGTAAATCTTTTACGGATGGATAGTCAGTTTGTCGGAGCAACTTTTCGTATAAAAATGAACAGGAGCTCATTTTTGTGGAAATACTATAAGTGGACGTCACGTTTCCCGAACTTTCGTTCAACTTTGTAACCGTCTCCGCATGAGAGATTAACAGTAGAAGCAGAGTCGATTATCTGTTACAGTGTCATGGGCATGAACATCAGAGACCTTTCTCCATTCACATATTTATCTCTGAAAACAGTCGACTCCGACCTGTCCAAAAACGCTGGATTTCCTGTGTAGTTTTTTATGTTCTGTGTAGTTGAAACAGCGCATTAGGTATAATGTATATTTACATTTTTTTGCAACCTCGTATATATGCAAAGACCAGTCTAGCTTTGATGTTAAGCGCAAGCCCAGATGTTTATGCCGGTCGACGTAGCGGATAACATTTCCATTCAATAATAGCTGAGGACGTACAGAAACTTTGCCGGAAAACATAGCCACACACTTTTTTAAATTCAAGGGTAACTGCCAAAATTCGGTCCACTCTAAAACGTCTTTTAAATCTTGATTTAAAATATTTTCACTTATTAAAATATTGTCCGAGCTATGTGTATCGTCCGCAAATAACCGAAGTTTCGACTGTTTATTATCACAAATATCGTCGATGAATATTAAAAACAAAAGTGGTCCTAAAATTGAGCCTTGAAGGACACCACGGTTTCATTTTTCTAGTTCATGTTTGAACGCGTTTCTGCATCTTAATCAACTAGCTCTAAATTAATCGTTGAATCCTGAACACGGATATTTTATCAAAGCGCCATCAATCACTTCTGTAGATTGATTACATCCTATAAGATAGATATTTAACAGAACACAAAACAAAAACTCTTTGATATATGCACATGTATAATTATAAGTTGAAAAGTCTCATTGTTATGTTGGAATGTATTAAGTCAAAAGTCTCTAAGAAAAAGCTCGAGAACATGGCGAGCTTTTCTTCTTAAATTTTTTCCTGTTCAGCATTGTAAACGTGTTGGCACAAACAGAAGCATTTATCACTTTAAAGCTTGTGTGTATCTCTTTTTTCTTTCTTTCGTATCGAAGAGTTGAATTTCTGTTGATTTCTCAATATGTTTTGGTATACAAAATATATATGGATGATGACATACGTTCGGTAGAGCACTTTTTTTTAACGAAACTACGTGATATAATCAAGAAGCTTAACTATGACTTCAACAGTGCTGAACGAGTCCAGAATCTCAATTCTCCTGCTATAGCGAAGATACAGCGACATTACCGCGAACGACAATACCGCGAATACAAAAAACGACATTACCGCGAACGACATTACCGCGAATACAAAAAACGACATTACCGCGAAGACTTGTTTG